CTGCTCCACTATCCACCTTCTATCACCGCCTCCCCCTCTCTCTAACTATTTCAGAGACCCCCTTCCCCTCCCACAATTCTGAAGAAGTGTCCAGACCCGAAATGTCCGCTTTCCTGCTCCTCTAATGCTGCCTGGCCTGCTGTGTTCATCCAGGTCTACACCTTGTTATCTCAGACTCCAGCATTGGCAGTTCCTACTATCTCTATGTAGTGAAGTAAGTTGTAAACATGGCATAAGGAGCTTGAAAAGGAATATCAATTGAGTGGACACAAATTAGGCAGATGGAGTATTATGTAGGAAAGTGTGAATTTAACCACTTTGGCAATTAGGAAAAGTATATAATTTAAATGGAAAGAGTGAAATATTGGTATTGAGGGATCTGGATAACCTAGAACATGAATCACAAAAAAATTAATATGCAGGGACAAAGTCAAGTCAAATATAATGTTGTTTATTGCAATGGAAATGACAAAAAATAGTAGGGATGTTTTACTACAGCTGTATGGGCTGGTAATGAGGTCATATCTGAAGTACAGTTTTCTTTATCTTATTTAAGAAAGGACACATAGTTTAGAGAAAATTCACTTGGCTGATTACTGAAGTAAGAGGGCTATCCAGTAAGGAACAGCCAGACAGTTTGGGCTTATATTCATGTTTAGGAGATTGACAAGTGATTCATTGGAACATTTAAGATCCTAGGAGGATTTAGAGTTGAGTTTGAAAGGATGTTTCTACTTTGTGGGCGAGACCAGAGCCAAGGGGCCTCCCATTTAAGATGGATAAGACAAGAGATTGTTTTCTCTGAGGGACCCGAGACGGTAGAATTCTCTTGCCAGAGTGTGGTGATGGCAGACCTGTTGAATATTTTTCAAGCTGAGTTGGATTCTTGACAATTAAGCGAGTCAGAGTATAAGCAGCCGGCAGTAAAGTGTACTTGAGGCCACAATAAGATAAGCCATGATTTTAATCAAATGGTGGATTACACCTGGTCCCAATTCAACTGTTTGTTGTATCACGTGCAGTTGCTACATTCAGTGCATTTCATTTAAGGAAGACATTAGCTCAGCTGATTTTTGAAGCTGCTGGGAGAAGAACAGGTCCGGAAAATTTGACATTGAGTAACATTGTTAATTAGCAAATCCTGGGATGAAGACTAACTATGAACACTTGTATTTTGGTGCAAGATTTGATCCCATTGCATAATTTTTGAGAGTTTATCCCAGTGAAAATGCAGCTGGTGTAACTGAGGTTGTTAACCTTTAACAGGATGTGAATTTGAGTTTTTAAGAAGTTGATCCAGATTATTGAGAGTTAGAATCTCACAATTGAGCACAATCAGATGATCTGAGTTGTAGAAAATGAAAGTAAGATTTAGGTGTTGGGTAAAGAAGATAACTACAGCGAAAGAACAAAAGTAACTTTTCAAATTCTAATGAAGAAATTAAGCAAGGCATTGGGATCAAGATGGGCAATATATACAGACCTAACCAGCTGTGCTCACATCTCATGTATTAATTAAAAAAAGTACTAAGAAGATGCAGTTTGTTATTCAAAAGGTTGATAGTGATTTTTGTTTAGTATATCATTGTTAATGTGCTCCCTAAAAATGTTAAATAATAGATACTTGTGCATAGTACTTTGCTGATTTATTAATTATTGTGAAGTTGTGCAGTTTTTCTTGTAAATGAAGCGTTTGCAGTTGCCTGGGAATTAGCTTACTTACCGCAACTACAATAACATTTATAGAGGAAGCAAATCTGGTATTTCTCAACATAATTACTTGTCAAATGTAAAAATGTGGTTTGGAGATTCTGTGAAGTAATGAACTGCTACATTCCAGAAGCATTTTGGTCACTTGAGGAAAAGTGTTAACTCCAAGTAAAAACCTTGGTGAAATGGGATCACTGAAACATTGACATGGAGCTAATACAAATATGTTTCTTCATGTGTTGAGTGTCATTCCACAAAATGATTATCTGCAGATGGACGTGATTCTGTCTAACCTTGTCAAACTAAGTGGCAGGGTTGGTTTGTTCTGCACGTTTTGAACCTTGAGCTTGATCCTTGAGACCTAGTTTCTTTTCAGTTTTATCATTCTGCTCTGAATGTAGAGAGAGAGGGCATTTGTTATCTTGGTATCAGATTTAGTGTGTATATTCATTTGTATATTTTATAACTGCAAGAACTCCTGGTCAATACCATAGATGTCAGCATTTAATTTGACATCTGAAGCCTGGGAAAATGCCTTTTGAAATAGCATTCACTTAAATGCCAAGTACAATGGTAAACCATCAGTGAGGGTGTGGGTGGTGACCGTTATGTTACCAAATAGTGTGACAAGGTTTCTTGAATAAACCTACCTGTGTAAAGATGGCCAAACTGTCAAATGCTTTAAAACCTTTAAAATTCATTGTCATCATTCAATGCAAAAGATTCATGTGTCTTAAAAACACCCAGATATCTTTGCGATACTCCCTGTATTGCTTTCTTGGTACTTTTTTTTAGAAAAAGGAACACTTGGTAGTGTAGAAAATTCAGGGTGATTACCAATGTGAGCATACCATACTGTGGCTGGAAAGTGGACAATTGATTTGTCTGTCACGTACATGCAAAATCATGACTATAGAGCGGGAAAATGGAGTTGTGATTCACGCAGCCTTCAAAAGATTTGCAACACGCACTTTATAAAAAGTTTTCATTTAGGTTCATTGGAGTTACATGTATGTTGGTTTAAATACCTGTTGCAAAACTTAATTTTGACTTTCCTCCCAGTAGGTCAGATAAAGCAACATCACCGGGGTCACCGTACAGATGTCACGTAAGTTTCAGTATTTAGCATTTATTTTAGTAAGTTTGATTGTATATACTTTTCCATTTCTGTTGTGTTGCTTCATTGTGGGTTCAGGTTTGTCTCGAGTGTTTTCCTGAGCTACATTGGTACTTTTTTGACTTGGACTTTACTGGAGTCTAGGAGACCAAATGGTGGCAGGGACCGGAGCCCACGATTCTCGACACCATTCGTGGGGTTTCCAATTTACACTATATAGAATAATTGATTATCAATTATCGTAACAGTAGGGAGTGTTTATAATAAAAAAAGTCATTCATTAATAATCTTGCACTTACCTGAAATCTCTCTTTACGAAAGGCCAACAGAAGTATCAATCTTGCAAACCTTTTAAGGTGTCATGCATAGAAATTTCAAACACTGAAAACCTCTTTACCTTATGTATATTTAAGTTGTGCAATTGACAGCAGAGATCAGCGGTACAGAGCTGTCAATCAAGTCATGTTTCTGTGCAGCTTGGCTGTTTCAAGAGTCCAATGGATGTCTGGGCTCTCTGACTAGATTGCACAATGAAGTTTGATCAGGAGAAGGTACTGAGCCTCCACTTATTCTGGGAATGGAAGTTAATTTTCACACTTTTTGACATTTCTGTTTGAATTGCTGTTCTGTTTATGACAATGCCAATGCTTCAGTGTGAATATACATGTGGGACCACAGAGGATTCGTTTTTAAGGGTGTTAGTTTTCTGTCAGTGTTTACTTTGTTTCAGTCTATTAGGGACAATGGTAGAGATAAGCAATAAAATGTACTCTTTGGTGTCTTTTCTTTCCATTTAAATGCCTCATTCCCTACCTGTACAAATACAAATAGAAGTCTACGGCATAGAAAACGCCTGTTCAGCGTGTGAAATCTGCATCAATCAAAATCAAGCATCTAACTTTTCTAATCCTATTTTCCAATCCTTGGTCCCTAGCCTTGTATGCCCTGGCATCGCAACTGTACATCTAAATGCTTCTTAATGTGGATATTGAAGTTTCATTAGCCGTTCTGCATGCTATAAACCCACTTGACTTTCAACCTTGTCAGAGCTCCATGTTGTTGGTTGATTGTGTTCATCTTACAACTTTAGTCAAGGCATAGATTCAAGTTGGAGCAGAAATTGTTGTGGTAGTTATGTTTTGATAATCATGTACTCCTTGTTTCTAAAGGCTTTTACTGATATTTGCTTGATTTTGTATTTATATATTTGTCTAAAGTTTTTCTGTATACATTCCAGTCTATGGCTCTTTCTGATGAAGTTGAGAAGAAACCAGAGGTAACCAGTACAGATCATAAATACACCGAGGCACAGCAACATGCAAAGTGGCGTCATGAAGAAAGGCGACATGTTAAACAAATGAGGAAAGATCATATGAAGGTATCTGAAGCTTTTTGCTCTGTGTTTGATTAATCAATGACATTGCATTTATATAGCACTTTTCATGGCCTCTGAACTTCTCAAGTGCTTCATATAAAGCGAAATATTTTTTGAAGTGTAACCTGTGCTACAGTGTAAGAAACATGACAGACAATTGGTGTTCAGCAAACCCTTAGAAACAACAGTATGATAATAACCAGCTAATTTTTAAAAAGTATTGATTGTGGGATAAATATTGGCCAGGATACCACGGCTGTTTTACCAATTGACTTATTTTATACCTTTTCAGGCTAATGGAACATTTGGTCAATGAAGGGCCAAGGTTGACTCTATGAACCTAATCTTCTGGCTGTATATTATGTGGGCTAATGCCTGGATGGGTGCAGCTCCAGTTTGATATAAATCCAGGATAAAGCAGTCCTGTTGATTGGCACCATATCTACAAACATGAAATTCCTCCACCATTGACGCTCAGCAGTAGTGTGTACCATTTACATACAAAATGCACTGCAGAAATTCACCAAGGCTTTTTAAAAAAGCATCACCTCAACCCACGACCACTGCCATCTCGAAGGATAAAGGCAGTAGGTACTTGGGACCACCACACCAGTAAGTTCCCCTCCAAGCTACTTGCCATCATAATTTGGAAATATATTGCCACATGTTGCAAACAAGTAACCGATCAAATATAGTACAAAAAAGTGCAAAATGAGCACTTGAGCACATGAGCAAAAGGATGGGGAGAGGCAGTACATAATGAAACAATTCTGAAGAGTGTACAGCGACAGAAGGACCTGGAAGTTATCTACATAAATCTCTGAAGAGAAAAGCATATTGAGAGTGTGGTTGGCAAACCTAAGAGGCTTTGAGATTCATGAAGAGAACATTGAATTCAAAAGCAGGAATGTAGTGCTAAACCATTGTAAAATTTTGGTTAGGCTACAACAAGAGCACTGTACCATGTTCTGATCACCATACTTCAGGAATGATATGAAGCTGTTTGAGAAGGTGCAGAGGAGTTTTATCAGATTGGATTCAATGATTGAGGGGCTTTGCAGGGTAAATGCTGAGAGGATGTTTCCCCTCATGGGAGAGTCCAGGATCAGAGGGCATAGTGTCAGAATAAAGGGGTGCCAATTTACAAGTGGAATGAGGAGGAATTTCTTCTCTTGAGGGTTGAGAACCCCTTGCCAGAGGGAGCTGTAGGGCAAAGTTCTTCTGTACATTTAAGGCTGTGTTAAATAGATTCTTGATCTAGTAGGGGAATGGAGGCTTATGGAAAAGTGCAAGAAAATGGACATGAGGACTGTCTGATCGGCGATGATCCTGTTGAGTGGTGGAGCAACAGGTTCAAGGGGCCAAACGGCCAACTCCTGTTCCTATTTCTTACGCTGTTAAAATTTAGCTATTTTTGGTTGGAGAAGCTGGGGCTGTTCTCCATCAAGCAAAGTAGGTTGAAGGAAGATCTGATAAAGATGTATAAGAAAGGCTTACATAAGACTAGCATAGAAAAACTGTTCCCATAAATTGTATGAAAACCAAGTACCATCGCTTTAAGCTACTGGATAAAGCAACATGTGTGAATAGCATTTTTAGCCACTAATCTGGAATTCGCTGCCAATAGTGGTGATGGAAGTGAAGACGGTCAACGATTTCAAAAATAAATTAGATTGGACTTGAGCAAAATAAACTTGCAAGCAAACGTGGCTAAATGGATTTCCCTACAGAAACAGATTTCTCCACAAAGCCGGCGTGGACCTGTTGGGTTGAATGGTCACATTTTGTGCCATTATATTTCTACGTTTCTAAGTACGTTGTAGTTTCTCCCAATGCAAAATCTTTGTTATGATTATCAATGATAACAGTCCCTTTCATTATTGCATGACTAAATTTATATGTTCCAAACCGGGCTGGTAAAACCGCCTTGGCTATAGCGATGTTGAATTTTCATTGTTGCCTTTCAAAGCAAATGAGGAATTCTGCAGTGGCAATGAAGTTTCTCTTAATGCCCTAATAAGGTTTGTTGCTTAAGTCATGTTTTGCATTGGCTTTCATAGATGATCAAAAGGATTAAGAATGAAGAATCCTGCCAAATATTTGTGCTTGGTTGTGACTGACTCTGACCAGAGCAGCTATATTTCTAGTCATACGAACAAATTTATTACCTCAAGTGCCACAGCAGTTGGAGTTGCAGTTGTTAGACTAATAAGCATGTTATCTAAAATGAACCCTTTTCAGAGTTTCAGCACCATTTGGGGGCTGTGTTTCGTTCTGCTGTAAGACATTACAAGCCAAGTTTAAAGTATAAACTTGGTGACTATGGCAACAAAGCAACCCCTTATTACTGACAATCACTTGACTATCTGCTTTTTAAAACTCCTGCGTTACTGTGCATCTGATACCTTACAATGTGCTTAATATATTGCAAACCAAAAACCTTTGTATGATATTTTTGTTTATTATTTTAAAAAATCATTTTGGAAAGTGTGATTAAGTTTTTGTTAATGTATTGTGCCTCTTTTCTCTTGACAGTTAAAATCTTCAAAGAAAAACAAGGAGGAATTTGAATATGAAAATGAGGTATGTATTGACTATTTGTTCAAAATATTTTTAAATATTCTTAACCGTGCCTTTTCTCTACCAGTTTTATGATGCAAGTGATATTGCTTCAGATTTTCACGGGAAGTGTATTTTGTGGATGTTGGAGAGAATTTCTAACGTTCACATAGAATACTGTGACAATTCTGAGCATTGGCAGATGCAGTTCTGATTATGCCTTTTGGAGCAGTTTATTCCCACTGGATTTAATTTGGCAATAACATATTAAAACTGCTTCATATCTGATCTTTGTCCCTTTTTGTTTTCTGATTCTCAATCAGCAAGGTTTGCAATTCTCACCACCCTAACTGTAGATACAGCAACTAATGTGCTGTGGAAATTATGAAGTGGATATGAAACATCCACAATATCTTACCTCCAAAGAATCACTGCTGATATTCTGCATTTTGGTATTTCATGCAGAACTATATTGGTACTTTGTCATTGATTAAAGTTTGCTTCAAGTTATCCTGAATGTCAGCAAGAAGAATAATTATGAAAATAAAGTTAAAATTGGTTGAAGAAATAAAAATAAAACAAAGTTCAGTTACAATCACTGAACCATTTTTTTTTTAGTGTATTTAAGTTCTGTTGAAGGTTGTTACAAAGCTCAGTGTCTCAATTCCCTCAAGTTGAGTGACTTTCTTGCCCAGTAGTGTATTTTATATATACAATACAGGGGATTACAGAAACATTGCGATTACATTATTGCATGAGCCACGTACCTGTTGTTGGGTAATAAAATACCTGTGAACTCAACTGTGAGAAAAGTTATCACAAGATTTCATTTTTCATTCTGAAATGGAGCAAAGTGGTGGTAAGAGGGTTCAGCTTCTGCACTCATACTGATGATAATCTCCAGACTGAGAGGGGCTTGCTGGTTTTTAAAAAAATGGTGTTCCATTGTTACAAAGGCTTTGTTTAATGAGTTTATTATTAGGGATAATTCAGCAGGTTTAATTGGTGACCTGAACTTTGCATGTGCTCAGCAGGTAATTAGTGCATTCCGCAGTACAGATATAGACTTTGGGTAGCCATCTCTTTAGCTAAGAAAGATATCTCCTTCATTCAGAGACCAGCTGGTCAAAGATTCTATTGAACTGTAAATGGATTTATAAACTATAAATTAATTCCCTCAAACATTTAATTAGTTTTGACTTTGTTACCTCAAGATAAAGTCAACTAGTGAAAACTTTTATATACAGTTAATGAATTTGACTGCTGGTTATACTGTATTCACTTGGGCACTGAAAATCACATTTTGCTCAAGAATTAAAATGAGAATTATCTTTGTCATAAATATTAGATCAGCTCGATGACTGCAAATGAGAGGAACGTGATTATGTCCCGTTTCACTTTTTTGATGTGCTACTTTTTCCCAAAGGAAATGAAGACATCACTTCTTATCTTCTAAGAAATATGTCTCTTCCTCCCTTTTCCTATTTCAACCTGCTGCCCCGGCACTCAATTACTACATCTTTAGAAGCTGCTGATATAAGGAAACCATCAAATGTCAAAGCTATTTTGAATCTGGTTTGTTCTGATGTTGTTCATTCTGTTTCAAATAGATAGTGAAATTATTTTCTTGGCAATATTACTTGTAGCGTTTCCTTCATTTAATACTTTATCCTGGTTTATTTGCTTCTGTTTTCACTCCTACAGCCTGATACTGAAACTACATATATGTCTTCACCATCTTCTGTTCAAATCATAAATTCATTTTCTTCTGTCCAGGCAACACCCAGTGTGTCATATGAGGTATTGTTACTGCATTTATTTGTTATCATTACCTTTCTCACTGTTCAAACATTTTCACAGAGACACTTGTCTCTCAGAGCGATTTCCACAGGATCAGTAGATTAATCTTCCCCATATAGCTTTCTTCATTTTGTTTGTTTATTTTGCCTTGGAGCTTATGATTGAGAAGCTTGTGTTTATTTTACATGTCTTTTTAATGTTAAATGTGAACAGGAACTTTATTGGGATGGAAAAATTTACACTAAATTCATAATACCTTTTCTAAATTGTGATTGTGTCTCCCCTACTTAGGTGAAGGGCAAGTGACTTGCTCTCTGGGGGAAAAAAAAATCTGCTTTGAAACCAATAATTTAGGTGAATGAAAGTATTTTATGATAATTTCCTTAATCTGTTAGTTTTTTTCTTTCCCTGGGAAGTACGTACTTCTGCTTAGCAGGGAACTGCAGGACCAAAAGAAGGCGGTTGCAATCTGCCATTCTGTGTCATACATCAAAATATCTTCCTGCTACAACACTTCATCTCTCTGATGTGAATTTCTGTTTTGCTGAAATTCTGTGGAAAATATTTGTTTTATGATTGCAAATAATTAATAGTGTAACTCAAAACAAATTTTAAAGTAACACCCTTAACAATCCATGATAGCTCAGGGGTGTTTCCAATGAGCAGCTGAATCAAACCAATCAGGACCAAAATTTGATCGCCCTGTGTGCTTTTAGGTGATATCAACGCTGTTTCCATTTGCTGAATTGGCCGTCTTTGTGAAGGCCAGCATTTATTGTGCATTCCTGATTACCTTTGTGAAGTTTGTGGCATGCTGTCTTGAACCACTACAGTCTATGCAGTACTGATTACCAATGGTGCTTTGAACAATGAGTCTGACGATTTTAATTTACCAATAATGGAGGAACAGCAATCAGTTAATATGGTGTATTTCTAGGAGGGGAAGTGAGGTAGTGGTGTTCCAGTTTGCTTGCTGCTCTTGCTTTTCTAGGTCATAGCTTTTCTGCTGTCAAAGGAACTGAGCTGAATTGGTATAGTCCATCAATATTACCAGTAGTTTGCTACTTAATGGAAATAGACTGTTAGAGTAGTCTTTGGTTGTTTCAGTTCTGTCTAGCTTTTTATGGATAAGGTTTATGGTGGCAAGACATCCTTAGATTGATGCTGATATTGTGGATGTACTGAAAAATATTGGCTAGTGGCTAGGAGCACAATTTTTTTTTAACCACTTCAGCTGGAATGTTTTTGTGGCCCATAGCGTGTGTTGTGCTTGGTGGACTCAGATGTTTCTTGGTATCACATGGAATGAATAGACTTAGCCGAATACTGCCATATTCAATTTGGGCACCTCGAGACAGGGCTGAGATAGATTATCCACTTGGCAGTTCTGAGTGAAGATGTTTACAAATATTTCAGCCCTGTCTTTTGCATTAACTTGCTGTGCAACACCATCAATGAGGGTGGGGATGTTTAGATGTGGAATTACAACATGTCTGTGTTGAGAGAGCTCTGTCTCCAAAAGGACCATCCTGTGTGGTGATTACTCATAGCATTATTCTCATGTGTAGAAGCTACTTTTGAGGCAGTGATTGGTGAGCTTGGATAGCTTTTTCTGCCTGTGTTGGTTATCTTGCCATTTGTTGCAGACCCAAGCTGGCACGTATGTCTTTGAGGACTCGACCAGTCCAGTCAGTGATGGTGCTACCAAGCCACTGTTATATTCAACATGGAATGTACTTGTGTAGGAATGTAAGTGCCCTTGTTGTCCTCCCTGCTACTTCCAAGGAGTGCTCAGCATAGAGGAATATGAATTTCAGTTGAGGGAGGCAAATAGGTGGCAATCAGCAGGCAATTTTCTTGTCCATATTTGACGTGACTTTATGAAGTCTGGAGTTAATGTTGAGACCTCCAGAGTATCCTCCATCTTGACAGTCACTGCTGCCACCTTTCTGGATCTGTCACTGGGCATGGCATGCCCAGATATGGAGAAATTTGGGACATTGACTGTAAGGTATAATTCTGAGTACGACAGGCTGTTGTTTGAATAGTCTGTGGAACAGCTCTTCCAATTTTCATTGCTCACCAGCTGCTGTGTTATTATTTAAGCTCATGTGTCCAGAGGAATTACTGCAGGCTCCAAGATTACTGGTCTAGTAGCAGTAACATCTACTTGCCTGACGGAAGTTTTAATAGTTCCATATAGTTGATCTCTGCGCCTCTAGATCTGGGAGGGGAAAGTAGCAGGTTTCATGATGCCGGTTTGCTAGTTTGTCATCCTTGCTGAAAGTCGGTGTGAACATTGGAAAGGAATCTGTATGATCCTCACAGATGTTGAATATCCTGAGGACGTTTACTGGTGCACGTGAATACTGTATATTTGAAAAGTAAATGGTTTTGATAGAAATCACTAATTTTGTTTTGAGTTGCGAGATTTTGAAACTTTGAAAGTTTTTTTTTGAATTGAAGCTGTGATTGAGCAATAAAGAACATGTTACTAGTTTAACAAACAATATTGTATCCTTTCACAGGAGGATGATCGATCAATTGGATTTTCCACTCAACCCTCATCAGTACCTTTTGGTCTCAAACCTAGATCAGGTAAGTCATGTGATTATTTCCTCAATTTGTCTACTTTCCTAATTTCCACATAATCTTTCATTTGAAATCAAATAAATTCTTAGTTGCTCAAAGCTTCAGTTTTGCACAAGTAAGCTGTATGTTCAACTTGAGCTAGAACAGATTGTACCCCTGAAATTTGGTAGCCATCTCTGTCATCAAATTCATAACTGAAGCACAATGATACTAAATATGAGTTCAAGCCAATATCTTCAAATGTGGAACAACTAAAAATCTATTTTTTAAACAAATACAAGAATATCTGACTTGAAACTAGTACATTACTCTATCTTATAGCAAAATAGGCAGTTGCCATTTTGGCCAATAGCTTGAGTCTGGAAATGACCTTTAAAATTTAACTTGGAACCAAAATTTATTTCATTAAAATTAATTTAACTGAAGTAACTTTTGAGTTGTATTCAAACAGTGAAATATGTGCAGATTATTCATTGATGTAAAAGAATTAATTATAAATGGCAAGTTGCAAAGAATCGATTAATACTTGTATGCGGACATTAGGGTACACTCGGAATGTTTTGTGTAGGTACAAATATAGCTGTATACATTTCTTCTAAAACAAAACTTTCTACTGGAAAACAGTCTGCATTTGTGTAAAATATTTCAAAGTATTGTGTTCTATTAGACTTTTGACCCTTTTTTGCTTTAAATACTAAATACATAATGGGTTGTTATTTGCTGTGGGCTAAGGTTAGGGCATGCAACAGTCTGTTGCAAATATCCCCTTGCATGTTTAGTTTTTTTAAAGTTTTTTGCAGAAAGTTGCTGAACATGTGACCTGAAAATGATCTTGGTCCTTGTGACATATCAGTCATGATATCTTGCCAACCTAAAAAAAGACCCATTTATTATACCTACTTTCCCCTCCTTTTAACCAACCAGTCTTCTCTCCATGCCGATATTCGGTACACCATGCATATAAATATCAGAGAGTACCATTAGTCCCACTGTTATTTTATCACCCAATTATGAACTGTCATATAATGTTTGAGGAGTAAATATCTAATGGAATTAGTAGTAATGTTTCGTGTGATGTGTCATTCAATATTCTGTAACTAAGTGGCACAACAAGTGTGACAAAGCAACTTTTGAATCTTTAAATGGGGTCCATTAGCTCAATTGGTTGGATGGCTAGTTTGCAACGCAGAGTGGTATGTGCAGTGTGGGTTTAATTCCCATACTACTTGAGATCACCATGGAGGCCCCGACGTCTTAACCTCACTGCTTGCTTGAGGTGTAGTAACCCTCAGGTTAAACTCTCCACCAGTCATCTCTCTCTCATGGGAGATCAATTCATGCTTCTCTGGGACAATGGCGACCTTCACTTTTATCACTTATAACAGCACAGGTTGGACATCCTGCTTGCAGGACATGCTGGATGCTCACTTGAATTTTTTTTATTCACTCGTGGCTTATGGGTGCTGCTGGCTAGCCAGCATTTGCCTGTCCCTAGCTGCCCTTGCGAAGGGTGGTGGTGAGCTCCTTTATTGGACTATTGCAATCCATGTGCTGTAGATTGATTCACAATACCCTTTGATATTTGATAAGACTGGCTCAACTGAGATCAACCACATTTCAAGCAACAACCACAGAACAATGTTCGTATCATCTCCATGCTCACCTGTGATTTGGGTTACATTTACCTCTTTTAAATTGGAACAAGTGTAGGCCGTTCAGCCACTTAAATCTGTTCTGTCGTGCATTGAAATCATGGGTGATCTGTGGTCTAACTCCATTTCCCATAACTCCTGTGATTAATAAAAATGCATCTTTCTGTGATATAATATAACAACTGATGTTGCATCCACAGCCGTTTGTGGAAGCGAGTTCCAAACATTTACTATCCTTTGTGTCTAACATCTTTCCTGAATAGTCTGGCCATAATATTTAAATTGTACCCCCTAGTTCTAGAATCCCTAATTATTGGAAATATTTTATCCTTAACTGCCCTGTCTCCTCTTGTTACTATTTTGAAGGCTTCAAACAGATCAGCCCTTAACCTTCTAAATTCTAGAGAAAACAGACCTAATTTATATAGTAGTTCCTTATTATGTAACCCTGAAGTCCATGCAGCATTCTTGTAAACCTACATTGTATTCACTCAAAGGCCAATATATCGTTCCTGTGGTGTGGTGTTTCACTTTGTTTGTACTATACTTTGAAACAGCATTTACCCGTCCATCACGTCAGGAACTTGGAGCAGTTGACCCGGGTTTTACTATTAGAAGAAAGATGGAACATCTAAGAGAAGAATTAGAACAAATTAGGCAACTTAAACAGGTAAACCATTTGAAATCATCTATTTGTAATACTGTTAGCAACATTTAAATAATGGTATTGTTCATGATATTTTGAGATCTTTTAAATGAAAAATGTGGACAAAAATATCCAGTCAGGCTACAATTTTTTCTCTAGAATTTGACCTGGAGAATGAATTTTGTACTGCAGGAGGTAGGTATGACATCCTTGCAATTACAGGTCTGCAGTTTGGTAAGGTTGTCATTTTGGGTTGGTTGGCTCGCCAAGTTGGTTCGTTGTTCCGCAGACGTTTCATTTATCCTGCTGGGTAACATCATCAGTGCAGCCTCTGTTGAAGCGCTGTTGTGTTTTCCCGCCTGTAATTTAAACTCTGGTGTCCGTTGAGCTGGATTACCTCACTTCCAGTTTTCCTTCGCAATGGAGTGTATATGGGGTCTACCTCTGTGTTTATTGATGGCTTGCTGAGTGGAGTACCAGCTTCTAGGAATTCCCGTGCTTGTCTCTGCTTTGCCTGTCCCAGGATCCTGGTGGTGTTCCAATGAAATTGGTGGTTTTCCTCATCCATGTGGATGGAGATGAGCGATTATTGGTTGTGTCTTTTTGTTGCCAGTTGATGTTAGTGTACTCTTGTGATTAATTTCCTTCCTGTTTGTCCAATATAGTGTTTGTCGCAGTCTTTGCAGGGAATCTTGTATATGACATTGGTCCTGTCCATAGTGGGTAGTGGGTCTTTGGTCCAGGTGAGCAGTTGGCATAGGGTTGATGTGGGTTTGTGTGCTACTCTGATGCCCAGTGGTCATAGGAGCCTTGTGGTCAATTCAGATGTGTTCCTGATGTAAGGTAGCGTGATGAATGTGTCGGGGCGTGTAGTATCTTCCTGGTGGTGTTCTTGTGATAGGCATCTTCTGACCCAGTTTTTCAAGGTTGTCTTTAAGTGCAGAAGTACTGACCACTTATAAGTGGTGGCTGAAGTACCATTTTCCTATTGCATACTGGAACAAGTGTATTTATAAATGTTGTCACCAAGGTATTTTTAATATTTATGTTATCAAAGCTTATTAACTGTTACCTTGACACATAGAAACAAGAATAGGCCATTCAGCACCTCAAATCTGTGCCTCCATTCCAGTGTACTATTACTGATCAGTACCTGAACCTCATTTGTCCATTTTTATCAATATCCCTTAATTATCATGAATCTAGAAGTGATGAATAATAAAATTAGTTGAAGAATATACATTGGAGGCAATATGTTGAAGGCAACGTGGACTTTCAAAAGGGAAACACATTTTGAAGATGCAGTCAGTAGGTAAGGGAAAGATGGTGAATAGAGTCAACTTAATTCTTGGAAGGTATTTGATAAGGAACCTCCTAACATACTACTGGCTGCTGTAATCAATGAGGTGAATTGAGATGAAGTTGGGCATTGAATTATTTATTACCACAAACTTATTGATAATGGCTGCAGTTGTGCAGCTGTGACTGCAGAGCCAACCCCATGGATTCACACTTTAATAATGACAAAAAGGGAGTTTGTGTGTACAGAACCTAATTCTATGAATTGGATAAATTGTATTTGAAACGAGTATGTTTCTCCTGTAAAATCACAGACTCTAACAAATTAAATAGTAAGTTGGTACATCTGTCTTCAGAATAGCACTGGAATGTATAAAAATGTTGACAGCAAATTGTCAAGTAAATATTTAGGCAGCAAGAGGGATGTTCTCTTCAAAACAATATTTAGCACTTTTCTTATCAATATTATGAAAACTATCCAACATTGCTAAAAGTTGCAAGAAGGACTAAACTTGCATAAAAGATACAAAGCTTGTTTATTGGGGTGGAGAGAAGAATGCTACCTGCTCATGCTCTAAATGAGGGGTTATGGCATGGCAATAGTTGTGCTGAGGTGAAGGTTGTGTTTTAAAAACTAATGTGAATATGTGCTCTAAAATGGAGGACAGGATGATAAAGGGAAAGAAGAAAAATTAAAATAAAAACAAGTGCTGGAGAAACTCAACAGGTCTGCCAGCATCTTTGGAGTCAAAATCAGAGTTAATGTTTTGAATCCTAAGAGTCATATCAGACTGGAAGCATCAACTCTTTGTCTCCACAGAGCTGCTGAATTTCGTTAGCACTTTCTTTTTTTTATTTCAGATTTCTACCATCCGCAGCACAGAAAAGTTGCCAGCATTTGGAATGTAAGGAGAATGCTGGGTGTCAGTTATACGAATGTGCCGGTTGCGGCCAGGACTGCTAATAAATAACCATTAAGGTTTGATCAAAAGAAAAGAGATGAAAAATAGACAGAGAAACAACCAAGCAGTCAGTTTCAAGAGCAAGGCAATCTACTCCTATCAATCGCTTGTTGCATGGGAAGTCTGAATAATGGGTGCATTACTGTCTTTTGCTTTTATTACAGATGAAAAGCTAAGCAGGTTTAAATTTAAACTGGCACTGGGTCAGCTATAGTAATGTTAGAAACGTTGGAGCGGAAGTAGGCCATTCAGCTTCCAAGTCTGCTGTGCTATTCAATGTGATCTAGGCTGATTATCCTTTTTGGTGTCTTTTTCCCCAAATTATTCCCAAATGTCAAAATCTCTATTTTAAAAATATTGAATTTTCATAATCCTCTGCCGTAGAGAATCTCAAACATTCACAGCCCTCCGAGTAGAAGAAAATTCTCCCAATCTTGGTCCTAAGTGGCTTCACCTTAATTTGAAATCCTCTAGTTCTAGACTTTCCAACCAGCATAAACACCTTACCTGCATCTAACCTGTCTGTTCCTTTCAGTATTGAGTAGATTTCAATAAAATTACCTCTTATTCTCCAAACCTCCAGACAGCACTAGTCTGGTTTCCCCAATTTGTCTTTATAAGATTTACCCATTTCTGGAGATGCGTTCTTTCCTGCTAAGTATCCTGTGAGCTCTTAACTGAATCAACTGCGCAAAGAATGTAAGTCACTGTTCCTAATTACTTTCTGACCTCTCTTAAAAGAAAATGTTGCACTCTCAAAATGAAACCAAAATCCAACTTCACAAATGGTAATCATTGTATATAAACCTTCTTTATTATACATGCTTTCTCTTAGATTGCATGGTGGTCTCCAATTTTCTCCCTGCCTGTGCACTTCTAAACTACATTGTGAATGTTTCCCTAAAAGTGCTACCTACGTAGTTTCTGCCTCTGGATGCACAACAGTGACTTGAGTTACCATGCCTTTTATTTTTTTTTGGAACTCTGAGCTCAATAGACATATTCATCTAGAACATGTTGTGCGCCAGTGACTTCCCATATATTGTAGGACGCACATTCTACTTGTCTGTGACTTACAAGAACTTTAAAATCTATTTATTGCAATTAGAACAAGTAGAATAACTTAACCAGTTACTCACCAATCAGCCCTTCTTCAAAAAAACCCTCCGTACTTAAAGTATTGCTCCCATTGCAAACCTGCTCACTCCTGTCAGTAAATATGCTAAAACCTCCCAAGTGCCATTGTAAGTGAATTTTGCCAGCGTTGGATACAGAAGAAAGGGTAATGAAGGTTTTGTGTGGAGAGTGATGCAACAAAGTGATCATGCGTGATCTTGTCTGTGGTGGGTGTTGTCCTGTTGTATGCATTCCAGACCAGACAGACTGGTACATAACATTTCTGTATAAATGAACCTGCCTTATCTTTAATCACATGCAGTGCAGTGAAATGTAGTGTGTTGAGTCAGTCATGTGTATGGAATATATAGAAATGTTGGTGACCATAGAACCCATGCTATGTATTTGTGGTTTTATTTTTTAGTCACTTGCAGGATGTGGCTGTCGCTGACTTGCCAACATTCATTGCCCATCCTTTGATGCTGTTGAGAATTGGGTTGATATTACAGCAATGTAAATAGTTAGTGTTTTAATAAACTTAAGGCCATCTGTGTCAACAAGAACCCAATCTTAATGACATATGCTCCACGACGTAACAATAGGACGGTACTCAGATCACAGCGTGCTCGCATTGGTGTTTGACCCAGTAGACCACATCACAGTAACATGACAAGGGTTCAGGATTGGATACAGAGAGGTTAAGGAAGAATAAAGGGCAGTGAACTAAAGAGATATACTGATGAATTGAGATGAAGGTTGTAATTACTGAAGAAGAAAGGTTGAGTATAAAGGCTGGTGGAAAGTGGTGAAAACAATTTTTTTGTGATACTTGAGTTGGTGGTACAGAACAGGATGTGAACTGAAAGAGGACTAGAACCAAGTGAGATACCTAAAGGAGGAGGACAGATCAAGGTGCAAGTTACAAGCTTCACTGCTACAGGGGTTTTAGTGGGGCAAACTAGTGGCAAGTATAGCTAGTCAGCAAGTGTGAAGCTGACAGCATCCCTCAGCCAGGTTTCTACCAAAGCCAATCAAATCGTCTGCTTTAAGCTCAAGAATGGCAGAACTGTGTTCACAATTAGACCAGCATTCTGGAGGGAAATGCAGAAGAAGAGGTTTGATAGCTGGTTTGCTGACAGAGTTCACCACGTTAGCGCCGGAGGAGAGATTTAGACCAGCAAGAATTTACCCTTTGGGTGCCCGGGGTAGAGTAGGTCAGCAAGAGACGAGGATAGGAACGAACAATGATTAGACATCCTAGACGAGTTCTTCAGAAGTTTTTGAATCTTAAACAAGGGAGTCCAGTTTGGGATTGCAGCGGGAGAATAATCAGTGCTGAAAGGATTTAAGGGAGCAAGTGCCTGACAGTGAAAAACAAAAGGAAGAAAAAGATGGGAGGTAGTGGTGTAGATGGGATAAGGAGAGAAAGTAGAAATCGAAATGATAGACTCGGGTCAAGCGCAGCAGCCAAACTGTACAATACTCGTAGTACTCTGATAACAAATGAAGAGGTGACCCTCGTCAGCTACTTTAATATGTATTTTTTTAAGAACTATATTCAAAAGCTTCCAAAACAATGCACGTCAGTAGCCAGTTCAATTTTAGAGCCCATGGAAGGCATTATTGAAAAAGCGGGTTTAGTGGAAACATCAAAGCTGATTAAAGTGCCCTACGTGTGGCCAGTTTAGAAATGGGGCTGGCTTTTACAGTGCTGTTTTTGATGGTGTATTGGATTGAAACAAATCAAGTTTGAAGTGGATATCATTTGAATGTGTTATTGTATTTTTTTATTTTAATTCACTCACCGAATGTAGGTGTCACTGGCCCCAGCTTGTATTGCCTGTCTCTAGTTGCACGTGGGAAGGTGGTGGTATGATTCTATCTTGAGCCACTGTAAGTGTACTTTGAATGCCATTAGGGAGGGAGTTCCAGGATTTCAACCCAATGACAGTGAAGGAACTGCAGTATATTTCCAAGTCATGATGGTGAGTGGCTTGGAGAGGAACTTGCACATGGTCATGTTTCATGTATCTACTGCCCTTTTCCTTCTAAATGGTAGTGGTCATTGAATTGGAAGGTGCTGTCTAAGGATCTTTGAATTACTGCAGTTCATCTTGTGGATTGTGCACACTGCTGCTGCTGAGGGTTGGTGGTGGGAGGGAGTGGATGAATATTTTTGAATGAGATGCTAAACAAGTGGGCTACTTTGTTTTGGATTGTGTCAAGCATTTACCTAATTGGGGAGAATTTTGCTGAAAAAACATAAGCAAGTAGAAAGTCTGGATCATTGTGGACTGATACAATATATCATGACTATTACGAGAACAATTTTCCCCACTTCTTCGCTGGTGATAAGTACAGGAGCCCACGTAGGTTTTGCACTGCTGTTAATCTACTAGTTCAGAAAAGTTGCTCAAGCTCTCATCAACTTTGTTCTTTTGTCTGCTAACCTGCTTGGTAATTTTGATTTTCCTCATTTTGGTGGAGTTGTACCATTTGCTCAAGATTCAGATACTCTCTGCCCATGCTGCACTGCTTCCTCTCAAATTTATTTCTTTTTCTCAGTTTTTGTAATTATAGTGAAGTTTTAACCACTCAATTTTCATATTAGATTTGTAGTTGTTTCTGAGCTGAAAATGTAGTACCATACCAAGGACTTGACCTGTGGCTGAGCCTCCAGTGCATGGACAATCAGGGCTAGTTGGCTTACTCCAAATGCAGTGTATGCTCAGCTTCATACAAATATGTATTCCATGCTGAAGTTCACTTATTTTTTGTGTTATTAGTGAGGTTGGATCTCCTAAACAGCTGGGAGAACACAGAACCTCTCTAATGACTTACAGCTTATTAAAGAATGTTAATTTTTGTTAGCTTCTGTCACTCCTTCTGATGGCCCGTGTATGTTTTGCATCCATTTGTCATGTAAACTGAATTATCATTATCCGTGCTCAATGCTCAGAACTGATCCCTTTCTACCTGGTTATCCTGTGACAGATTATCACAGTGCCTCCTGGTTATTATAGATTCACACCAGGGTGAAATCTATAGTTTCCAGAATTAATTTCTTCCCAGCAACCAAGTAATGGTGAAAGTTCTGAACCAAACAAAAGGACAGTTCTAATATAAAACAAAGCAATTTTAAGTCGAGATAACGAGGTGTAGAGCTGGATGAACACAGCAGGCCAGGCAGCATCAGAGGAGCAGGAAAGCTGATGTTTCGGGTTAGGACCCTTCTTCACCCCCCTCCCCCAATTTTAAGTCGGTTCATTTTAGATTTGTATTTAGCTCCATATAAGACTGCACAAAGAATACGGAATTCCTAAAACTGCCAATGCAAGATAAAATGGTAACAAAAATCGCTGTTACTTTCTCAATTGCCTGTTCATCGCAAATAGATGAAAAGGTTTGTCACCGATAATTCAAAAGATATCCATTAATTGAATGTGTTTCTTCTGCGCAATAATTCTTTTCATCCTGCTCATTCTCCTTATTTTGCAAGCGTGTTAGTTGTGTAAGAATAGGTTGCCCTTTGCACTATGTTTCAGAAATTATTTAAAGACTTGGGAAAGGGAAGATATTTTTTGCATTAGCATAAGTTAAACATATAGCTGTACAACTTTCCCAGTCAGTTATCTGAGTGTGAATAACATGTGTCCAACATGTATAATATGGTATTTGTGAAAAAAATTAGTGTAAACTACTACTGAAAATCAGTAACCTCATGTTTTGGATCATTGCTTTTAGTGAGATTAAATAAAGCCTTTTCTCTTCTGAAATAGAACCTCGAATTAAGATTGAAGGTTGTTCTACCTGAAGATGTAGGTGCAGCTTTAATGGATGGGGTGGTACTTTGTCATCTTGCCAATCATATTCGGCCACGATCGGTGGCAAGCATCCATGTCCCATCACCAGCAGTGGTAAGTTCACTTACAGTGAAATATGTGCTGTTTTTAACAAATATTTCTCCCAATTCTAATGAAATTTGACTTTTTTAAGTATGCTGTTTTTCAGAATCATTTAGAAACTACTGGGGGTGTATCAAGTTATCTAGATGAATAGCAGAATTATCTAATGGAAAACCCTAAAAGTTGAAATGATCTGCAAAATTTTTGTTAAGAAATCTTGAGTATAATTGTCCTAGTTCAGTTTTCATCGAACATTTTTGCATAACATTGGCTGTCCTTGACTTTGTAATTGGAACTATATGGTTTTAACCTCCCTGTTTATGCCTACAATTATATGCTAGCACTCCTTGTACCTTAAAGTATATTGTGTGAAGGAACACATTCACACCCATTACAAGGTTTAAGAAATCTTTCAACAAATCTGACCGCTCCATTAAAATTGATTGCATTAACTAGCTTTGGTATTTATTCTCCATTTCACAACCCCCGCACCTTATTCTCGGTATAGGGTACCCCGAGTCTTGATATATTTGGTCATTGAGGTTAAAATACTGCACACTATCACCAATAGGTAAGAGTAATAGTTGTGATGTCTCCCAGAAATGAGCTCATTTGTTGATGGCATTTTTAAAAAAACACTGAGGCTGCGTTATTATAATGGAATTTGGAAGGAATGGGTGAAGTCAAATCCTTGCACAGAAGCAGACTGTCGAGTGATGGAATTGTGTGGCACTCTGGAAACAGCAACAGTGAGGTTAAAAAGAGCAGCACAAATGGAGAGGTCCCAGAAGCATGCAGACAGGCGATGGGGCCACTTAAGCAAAATCGAACTGTGACATGACAGGAGCACAGCAGAGAGGGTGCAGAGAAGATTTACCAGGATGCTGCCTAGGCTGGAGGGAAGACCAGTGAGGAAAGGCTGGACAGATGAGATTGCTTTCCTTGGAGCATTGACGTTTGAGAGGGATTCTGATAGAGGTGTATAGGATTATGAGCAGCATAGATAGGATGGATAGGTAGGCACTTTTTCCAATAGTGGAGGAAGTCAATAACCAAGGGACACAGATTTTAAATAAGAAGAAGAAGAAGGCTACAAGGAGAGTTGAGGAGAGTGATGGGATTAAAGGTTGTTTTACCAGAAGATGCAGGTGCAGCTTTAATGGATGGAGTGGTACTTTGTCATCTTTGCCAATCATATTCAGCCATGATTGTTGGCAAGCATCCATGTCCCATCACCAGCAGTGGTAAGTTCACTTGCAGTGAAATATTTGCTGTTTTAGCAAATATTTCTCCCAATTTGACTGCCTGAAAAGTGATTGAGTTAGAAACTCAGAATTTTTAGGCAGTATTTAAATATTCACTTATGTTACTGCAGATTGTAAGGCTAAGTGCTAGAAAATGGAATTGGATTAGGTAGATCTCTGTTGACCAGCTTGGACATGATTGGCCAAGTGGCTGTAAACATCTATGACCCTAGTAGTTGTCTGTGTTTGGAGACTTCCTGGGGCTTGTAAGATCTTGAGTTGTAATGGATTATAAATCTCATTATTGCAAAAGATTTCTGGAAAGTCTGGATATGCCACTAAACTCAACATTCAAATCATAGTTTAGTAACACACAGAAGGTGACTCATCATGTCTGTGATAGCTCTATTAAAGCTCCTTTGTCTGCAACAGCGTAAATTTTTTCTCTTCCAGTAATTTTTCCAGTTCTTGTTTTGAATGATTTGATTGAATTTTAAGCGATGCATGCCACGTTTTAACCACTTGTTTCATAAAAGACTTTTACTCATATCACCACTAGTTCTGCTGCCAATCATAATAAATCTATTGTAACGGAAGAAGAGTACTGGAGATTCTGGACTAAAGTAAAAAAAAAAATTGGATGTACCTTGGTCTGGCTGCAGAAAGAAACATTTCAAATTTTGGGTTGTTGAACCTTTGTTCAGACTATTTGGCGTTCATGCTGGTGTCTTAACCAGGTCACTTGAGTTAATCTGATTGTACAAAGTTGCATTCAAAAATTCTGTGGTGTGAAATATATTCAAATTTGAGGAGGGCAGGACAGAAGGAGAAATGGCCAAGGATAGGGCTTACCTTCCTGCAGTAGTTGAGGTGGCCTTCTCTGTGCAGTCCCTGTTAAATCATTTACTCCATACTTTGCAAATTGGCATGTTGTCAGACTTTTGCGAAAGGCCTCTTATTTGATTGTAGTAAAAATGGATGCAAGACCAGGTATAAACTTTTGTTTACTGACCAAAGGTAATCTCCCTGGAGAAGATGCAACTTTTTCTATTATGCTTTTAAAAACAGATAATTCCTGATTTAACCAGTTTTCTGTGAAAAATACTTGAAATTTATTGCTCTGCTATATCGTTGCAATTTAAGAAGTGAATACCAAATTGTATTAGCTAATCATTCGATCCTTAGAAATTACAGCGTGTTGATTAGTAAATGGTTACTGTGTTGCAAATGATGTCAGAAAGACCTCAAATTTTCCATTGTACAACATCTGCCATACTGAGAATAGCAATCATGGGGAGGTGATGCACAGTCAGAATGGCATGGGTGGCTGCGGTTGTTACCACATTGATTTCTGAGTGTTGAGTAATTTTAGTTCTTCTAAGAGAATGAAAATACAGGTAAAAACACGTATGATTATTACGTAGACTAACAAATGAAGACTGTGAAAATCTTGATGTTGTTTCAGTTTTCTATTAATCTCATAAGTGATCTGAAACTTTACTTCAAAAGTAAGTTAACTCTTATCTCTTATGTGCAAATTAGTGGAACACTAAAAGAGAACAACTGCAGCTGCTGGAACAACAACAGACTTTGAAGACACCCTTGTTGTAAAAAGCAAAAAAAAGGAAGAACTTCCATACATTCATAAAATTTATTAAGTTAAAAGCAGGGCAGAGAAGGTTTATCTCACACCTAGGGTGATTCCTTCCTTATATGGGGAAAACATGAATGGGTTATGTGTATACTGATCAAAGTTTAGAAGAATTAGAGATAATCTTATTAAAATGTAAGACCTTGAAAACTTTCATAGTGTAGATGTAGATAATTCCTCTTGTAGGAGAGAATAGAACTACAGAAGAAAAGGTTTAAGACTGAGTTGCAGATTTTTTTTGAGTCATGAGTTTGCCTCAAAGTAGTGAAGGGTTGATTGAATAGATTCTTGATAGACGAGAGATCTGGAGCCATGAGTGATGGTCAGGAAGATGGAGGCTATTGAATGGTGGATCAAACTCAAAGGGTCAAATCACCTACTCTTCCCTGAAGTTCAGTGTTTCATAAGTTCATGACCTTCAAGTGTCCCAAAGTATTTTGCAGCCAATAATGTACGTTTTCCAGTTGAATCCTTGATGTAGGGAAACAAACCTGCCAGTTTCCATGCAGCAAGGTCCTACAAGCAGATGGCCAAACATTCTGTTTAAATGATATGATTGAAGGATGAATACTGGCAAGGAAACTTCTACTCTTTAAAGTGTGTTGTGGAATCTTTACATTCTCCCAAGAGAGCAGGTATGACCTTGGTTTAATGTCTTGTCCAAAACAAGTGCAGCACTCCCCGCACTGACGCTTTGGTCTAAATTGTACATATTTTTAAGCAATCTGTTCAATGAGACGACTCTGCTGGAACTGGAACCTGGGCCATCTGGCCCAGTGATAGGGGCATTACCACTGCGTACAAGAGCTCCTCCTTTATCTAAATTGTATGTGGAGTCTCCAGAGTGGATGTTGAACTTGTGACCTGCCCCAAACAAGGTTACTAAAACTGAGGAAAGCTAACAAAATAGTAAAGAATGGGTGTTCTCTATTTTCTTACCAGAGAAATGTGGGCTTTTGCTTCAGATGCTTTACAGTGATTAGTCAATTAATATGTACCAAATTGTAATGTTCATGCAGCTTTGCATGTATTTTATAGAAATAAAATCTGCAACATAATGACCTAATTTTCTTTACTTTGCAGCCTAAACTGAGTATGGCAAAGTGCAGAAGGAATGTTGAAAATTTTCTCGAAGCTTGCAGAAAGTTGGGGGTTCCAGAGGTAATATATAGTATATTTCTGTGGTGCAAGCCATATAACACTCGTAAAAATGCTGTGTGAAAGCTTGGAATTTAACACTTGGTGCCTGAATTTGAAGTTGGCATGCTTTACCACAGGTTGAAATTTGAGATGGGTTTTATTCAGTCTCACCTCAAGGGAAAAAGCTACAGTCTTTCTGATAACTCATCATGCAAGGCATAAATTTATTTCTAGTGTTGTAAAATCAGCTTCAGAAATCTTGGCACTCTTTTACAGTTTTTTCAAATGTTCTAGCTCAGTTTTTGAATTTGTGAGCGCTGAAGTATAAAAATAGGCAACTGCACAGGGCTTTAGAGAGACTACACTTAAAGTATTGTATTTTTTTGTCTCCATACTTAAGGAGGATATATTCACATTGGAAACCATCCAGACCAGGTTCAGCAGGTTTAATCATGGGTGAAATGGTTGGCTTGCCTTAGAAGCAAAGGTTGAGCCTATATCTATTGGAGTTAAAGAAAAATCAGATCTTATTGAAACGTACAAGACAGTAAAGTAGGATAGAAATGAGAACTTGTTTTCCTCATGGTGAAATCTAGAACTAAGGAAGGCAGAGGAGGCATTTCTTTGAGGGTTGTAGGTTTTTGGGATTCTCTTTCCACAGAGCAGTCAAGCCTTGGTCATTGAATGTGTTCAAGGCTAAGTTGGACAGACTTGTGATCTGCAAGGAAGGTGAGGATTATGGGATCAGGCAAGAAAAATTGGAGTTAAGACTGCAATCGTACTAGGTATAATCATATTGAGTGGTGGAACAGGCTTAATGGGCTGAACTGCATCCTCCTTCTCCTAGATCTTGAGTCACAATGGTATTAGTCTTCAAGAGCATAATTCTTGAATGAACTGTCAGTCTACTAGTAAAATTATTTACGTGGATGGATGACAGTTATTCAAGTTTATCACATAATTGCATCAATTCAACAAGTCTGTGTTTTTATTCCTTCCAGAAACCACCAGTAGTTTTGACCAGTGCCCTTTGTAGCTTTATTTTGCATTTTGGCTAACTCCTGATGCATTCCCCTTACTTTGTTTGATCTACTTACATTACCTTTAGCATGTATAATCTCTAGAATCTTCTGAATCCAAAAGCAAACAAGGAGAAGACTATTTCCTGAGAGTAGACGTTGTAATTTATTTTTAATTACAATAGCAGTATTGATTCTCTGGTAAGATTTTGTTTACTGATTATTGTATTGAAATGTAGAAGCAATAGAATTTCCTATGATCTGAATTTTCTATTGCCACTAAACTCATTGAATTAGTTTAGTAACAGCACAGAAGGTGACTCATCATGTCTGTGATAGCTCTGTTAAAGCTCCTTTCTCTGCAGCAAAATAAATTTTTTCTCTTCCAATAATTTTTCCAGTTCTTGTTTTGAATAACTCAGTTGAATCTTGAGCGATGCATGCCACGTCTTAACCACTCGCTTCATTAAAGACTTTTACTCCTATCGCCACTAGTTCTGCTAATCATAATAAATCTATTGGTGTGAAATATATTCAAGTTTGAGGAGAATTGTTCTGTGGTGTGCAGACGTTCCGCAGATGCCTACAAAACAAACAACAGTCAGAGGACACGGTACAGCAGAAGACACTAATAATGCTACCCTACATCAAAAACATATCAGAAATGAATACCTGACTCCTTAGACCACATAAGATCAAGCTTACATCAATACTGCGTCAAATGTTATCAAAGACTAAAGACCTCATACCGGCAGTAAACAGGACTAACGTGATATACAGAAGCCCGTGCAATAAACATTACATTGGACAAACGGAGGAAACTGACAACCAGGATACACAAACATCAGCTGGCAGTAAAAAGACATGATCAATGTTCACTTGTCTCGATACACACAGGCAATGAGGGCCATCGGTTCGACTATGACAAAGTGACTATATTGGGACAAGTGAACAACAGACGTGCAAGGGAATTTCTAGAAGCCCATTTCTCAACATGGGACTCCACGAGCAAAGAGATAGAAAGAGACCCTGTATATAGACCGCTGCTAAAAAAAAAAGACGACCGGAAGTGACAAGACCCATCACAACAGAGGATCATGTAAATTTGGAAAGGACCAGAGCACCAATGCTTTGATTAGACGTTGCACTGATTACGTTGCTTAGAATGGTAATGAAACATCTGCACACCATGAAACAACTGGCTTGGCGAGATAATGAACAACTGTATTTTCGATGAACTTGGTTATAATTGGCATCAGTTTGTCCCTTGCAGTGCTCAATTTCACCTAATCTGTAGGAAGTTCTGGCAATGTAGAGAGAACACAAACTACCAAAGATGACAGCAAAGACACGATGCACAAGGATAGATGATGTGTTTCAGGTAAATCATCACAGGCACACCGAGTGAAGCGATGCTATTGATTACAAAGTACCTCATAACTAGGTTACCAGGATGGTCTGCTTAAAAGGTTACCATACTTGCCATAGTGAAGAGCTAAATCAAGAAATACACTTGGATTATTTTAGGTAACACTAAGTGAAAATATAGCTTTCTTCAATCACTTTTGAGGAAATACCAATTTGTTATCCATGCTTATAAATAAAATCTAGTTAGACCATACTTATGTGGGAAAATTATTTTGAGAAACATGTTAATGCTCTGCTGCAAAAACTATTTTATTATGCTGAAGACATTTCTTCAAAAATCTAATGGCAAATTGTGGTTGAATCCAGTAGTCAGTGATGGAATTGAATATCAAATTAACTCATAACTCTTGCTCAGTTCCACAGCAGGGGATGGATTTATTGCTGACTCTGCCAGCAAGAATATGATGCCGATGTTTGGTTCAAAGCATCCTGTTCACTTCTCAAATTATGTTAGCACTTCTAGTTCCTTTCTATGCTTGGTTTGAGCAGAATACCATTGGTGTGGCAACACCTGGCCTGACAGCCCAGGACACACCTGTTCCCTCTGTTACCACTTCAAATGTTAGATCAGTCTCCTTGAAAATCAACCCCATAAAGCGATGGACCCTGACGGTGTCCTGGGCCGAGCACTGAGATCCTGTGTGGACCAAATGGCCGAGGTATTCACCGCCATCTTCAACTTCTCCCTCCTACAGGCTGAAGTCCCCACCCCCTTCAAGACCCCTATATTTCCTGTACCCAAGAAAATACATGCAGCGTGACTTAATGTCTATCGCCCAATAGCTCTGAATTCAATAATCATGAAGTGCTTCGAGATGCTGGTCATGGCCCACATCACCTCTGGTCTCCCAACCTACCTTGATCCCCTACAGTTTGCCTACCGACATGACAGATCCACAGAGGATGCCCTATCCCTCACCCTGCACTCATCCCTGGAACATCTGGACAAAAAGACACCTACGTCAGACTCCTGCTTGTTGACTACAGCTCCGTCTTCAACACCATTATCCCCTCCAGACTGATCTCAAAACTGCGTGACCTTGTTCTTGGCGCTGCCCTCTGCAATCGGATCCTTGGCTTTCTGACCCATAGGCCACAAGCAGTGAGGATAGGTAACTGCACCTCCTCCACAATAACAGTCAACACTGGAGCTCCCCAAAGATGTCTTCAGCCCCTTACTGTACACCCTGTACCCCTACGTCTGTGTTGCCAAATTGCGAACGAACGCCATCTACAAGTTCGCTGATGACACCACCGTAGTGGGACAGATATGTAACAACGACGAGTCAAAATGCAGAAGGGAGATAAAGGGCTTGGTGACATGGTGCAATGAAAACAATCTGTCTCTCAACGTCGGCAAAACTAGAAAGGAGGAGAACACGTCCCTATCTACATCAACGGAACTGAGATGGAGAGTGCAAACAGCATCAAGTTCCTCAGAGTGATGATAACTGATGACCTGTCCCGGACTTCCCATGTAGATACGACAGTCAAGAAGGCACAACAATGCCTCCTCTTCCTCAGGCAGCTCAGGAAATTTGGCGTGTTATAAGGTCCCTCACCGACTTCTACAGAATTGCACCATTGCAAGCATACTGTCCAGGTACATACAGCCTGGTATGGCAACTGCTGTGCCCAGGACCGGAAGAAACTAAAGAAGGTTGTATGTGCAGCCATCACAGAAGTCACCCTTTCATCCATGGACTCTATTTACACAGCTCAGTGCTGCGGAAAGGCGGCCTATCAGTATATACCTATTTCTGAAGAAGGGTCCCAACCCAAAATGTCAACTTTCCTGCTCCTCTGATGCTGCCTGGCCTGCTGTGTTCCTCCAGCTCCACGTGTTTTCTCTGACTGCATCATCGGCAGTTCTTAGGATCTCTGGGTGGCCTATATCAGTATCTATTTTTGGACTAGGTGATTTCAATCTAATTTCCCTCAATTTAAAAGAAATATCTAAATTACACATTTTGTATCAGGCTGGAAAATATTTTTGATTCTTATGGCTGTGTCTCACTTAACTCACCACACCCATCATTTGGAGATGAGGTGACTAGCATTCACGTTTTTGGTGAAATTTTCTTTTACTTACATTGGATAAAGGATTCCTATACTGTACCTTGTTTCAGGTTTTACATTGTCAATTCTACCAGTGCGCTTCTAACTAACATTTCTTCCCCTTTGCTGTAAAAATGCCATTTTTTAAATAATTGATTTGTAAGGCATTTCTTTGAATGTGCTAAATGTATAACAATATATCATGAAAAATGAGATTAAATGAAAACTAAATTTTGTTTTCACAGGAAAATCTAACTTATGGCTTTGAATTCTGAGCAAGCAAGTAGAAAGTTTAAAAACATTTAATACCCAAGTAGTAATGAAAAAGATTCTAGACCAATTAAATGTGAGATGTGGGCATGCCTGAGCAACTGGCTTTTGTTGCATAACCTGTGGGAGATGACTTATGTTTGGCATGCAGACATGTGTGGAATAAACTTCTATATGAATCTAATTTTTTTTTACTTTATTTCAGAATAAACTTTGTCTTCCTCATCATATACTGGAAGAAAGGGGACTGGTGAAAGTGGGTTCTACAGTGCAAGCTCTACTTGAACTACCTACATCTAAACACACACAATTATCTGCTGTGTAATTAATATTCTTGGTCGACAGTCAAGGTTAGAATAAGTTATTGTATTTGCTATAGTAGTAGTTAAGCCATTTTCTTTCAAAACCCAATGCAACAGCTCTCGCTACCTAAGCCAGCAGTTTGATTAAATATCCATGCTTATCTGTTTTGTCAGGTACTGTATTTACATCCAGCTAACCATACCTGCCATGCTAGAAAGTTCAGAATACAATGTTTTGTCACTTTTTTTGATCTCTGTCATCAGATAGGAAGCTCCCTCTATTTAGATTTAAGAGGAAAAATCATTCCGACAACACTATTTAATTGTTCATAGTATTCAGGTGATTTCCTCCTCCCAGTAGCTAAACAAACTTTCACTTCTAATCAAACTTAACCTTGTGTTACCACAAGGGAAAAGATTTTCAGTGCTGGAGAGATCTTTAGTTTTTTTTAATGTAAGGAGATTTTTTTCATTGCTCTGTCATATTTGTGATTTTAGTTTAGGTTTAAGAGTTGGTCAGTAAATTTAACTTTAATTGGTGCCCACTAGTGCCATTATTTTCTCAGGGCTATTAGGTTTTCTGTACCAGTTTCAGCAACTGGTTCATACAATTTTTTTTATATTGAGTGCCGTTGAGCCTTTTTAAAATACAAGACCTCCATGACTGTTCCTGTTGGCTCAAATTACTTGAATTTGTAAAGTATGCCAGCTTTTTGAAATTAGAATAAAAACAGAAAATGCTGGAAATACTGAGTATTTGGCAATCGCTGTGAAGAGATAAACCAAGCCAACGTTTTGGGTCTGCAGCCTGTACCTGATGCTGCCTGACCTGAATATTTCCAGAACTTTGTTTTTATTTCAGACTTCCAGCATCTGCAATATTTTATCTTTGGAACAATGACTCGCTAATGACACAAAATAATGGAAATGATGCCTTTCAGGCTTTGGCATTTACTGTATGTCATTTAATATTGAAAATATCAATAAGCAGTTTAATAAAACAGACTTTAACCCAAGTTTATAGGAGTTATACAAATCAAAATTATTTGCTGCCTGACATGGATGTACAAGCTGTGAGAATTTCTACTAGGGCAGGGTGTTGAGCAAAGGAACCTTACACAGTATCCGGCTAAAGTGTGACCTGATATTAATGTTAGGCCAGTGCCATTAAATGAGATGTAACAGTCTTGAGTAGGCCTTACAGCTGGCAGTAAACATGCATCAGTCCTGACAGGCTGTAAAAGGCATTTGCCAAAGCATAAAATCTCTGCATTACACTTCACTCCCCTCTTTCAAATCCAGAGTAGCTTCTGATTCCTACCTGTGGGAAATCTTTAGTACTGATGACTTCACAACCTTTCTCTAAGAAAATAGAATGTGGTTGATATATATAGGATGTAGGCTTACATATGGGCAGGTCAAAAGAGTGACATGTTTTCTTCGCTTTTGGGTTTTATGCCACTAAGCAAATGCTAATTAATGTTCTCTGTTTTTGAGAGCCTCTGTATTTGCTGGCGCCTTCATGCTGATCTGCGCAGTGGTTATTATTCATTCAGTCAATGTAAATTCTCTTTCGCTGAACCTTTCATCTGCTCCTAATGTGCAAAGTTTAGGGTTCTGGCCTTCCCGATGGAACAAAAACTATTTAGCATTTCTTTGTATCTTTCAAGCTTTTATATATCTCAATTTTCACTGGTCTTTTGATTCTTCACCAACACCTGTTATGAGATCCAGATACTCCTTTAATAAGATTTCAGCCAAAAGATGAAGGCCCAAGCAAAATTAGCTTTGAGTCACCAGAACTAGGAGAAAATCCAACAGGTGGCAGCATTCTTTTTTCTTGAATATTAATGGAGGTTAAATAAATTTATAGAGTGAAAATGCTATTTTGGAAAAATAATACCTTATACTATAATTCATTATTAAATTGTCCTCCTAACTCGGGTCCATCATTCATGGAGAGTAAATTGCTGAGCAAGTGCTCACTTTCTAGTTGTCTAGTATTCTCGGGTTATAGAGGTAGTATACAACTTTACTCCTTCACCCAAAAAGCCCAGTAAATTAAAAATGGACTTTGAACAGACCTTTGGGATGTTTCCTACTTTCCAAGCAATTACCAGATGATTGAAGAACATGCCAGTGTTAGCCACAATTATCTAAAAGCAGAGCCCGAAACCAAGGAAAATAACAGTGGGGGTTTAATTTCTAATGAGCAAGCAAAAACAGTTGCATATGGATGGGTTGCACTCTAAGAGTAACCATGAATTCTTAATTTGAAAATCTCTAGAAATGAAGTATTCCCATTTACGTTGGTAAACTTTCTAGGTGCTCAAAAACAAAGCAAGTGTAGTCCCGGTTTTCCATTTTAGACTACTGTTAAGCATTTAGCAAAGTTTTATCTGAAATGTTATTGATAGTTAGCTAATAGGTGTTAATCTAGAATTAGAAACCTGATAGCACCGTTCTTGCACATTCCTGATCCACTAGAGGGCTACATATAACTGTCAGTTTTTGAAACTGTATGTTCTGCAAAAAAATGTTAGAAGCAAGAATGACCTTTTACTCAATTACTTGGTAACACATTATATTCCTCAGGATACCAGCACTGAGGAGCTAAACTTTTTCTGCATTATCTATTTCAGAACTATGGGCAGATTTGATTAATTTCTCCAGAAGGAAAAGTACTTGCTTTCTTCCTTCTAATATACAGCTAAACATATAAGCCTGGAGACATTTTTTTAGATATAAAATATCATAATTGAAATGTCAAAGAAACATTTTCAGGATAATTCAGTAACTAGTGTGCAGCATTGAAATGTCAGTGTAGCATGAGATGTTTGTCAGATTAGAAGTTCTTCCTCATTTATTCACAATATGTGAATCAGTGAAGCTTACATTTATTATTCATTCCAAATTAGCCTGAAAAGATGTTGGCATTGGATTCGAACCGCATTAGTCCTTGTTGTGATAGTCCCACGTAGGGAGTTCCATGATAGTGACGTGTAGGCAATGAAGACAGTGTGACATATCCAAGTAAAGATGGTGCAACATGATAATGGTGTTCACATTATAGTACTGGCCTTGATAGTAGAGGTTATAAAGTTGAGAAGGTGAGCTTGGAGAATTGCATCAATGCATTTTGTAGATGGTGTGTACTGTATGCAGTGTGTGTTGTATTCAGTGACAGGGAATCTGACAGGGCAGACTGCTTTGCCCTGCGTGGAGTTTACCTTGTGGTAGCTCTAATCTAGGAACATATATTATTTGTATTCCTCATTGGAGCTTTTGCAGGAGTGGTCAAGTGGTGAGCCATCAGCTACTGATTGCAGAAAACCAATTGTTTGCCCTGTGCTTGTACTTTGGGAGTTGGAGAACACTAAAACGTGCGGGTACTTAACAAGAGTCTTCTCTTGAAGATTGTCAGTGGGAAGTGATAAGTGCTACTAATGTGACATTCAGGTTTAGGCCAATAACATGTAAGTTATCCAGCTTCTGATGCAGGTTGCTATAGCCGTTTGCACAATTAGAATTGATGTAAGTGGAGATGCTTCGTAAACACTTGTAATTTGCCTCAAAACCATGCCTGACATTTCAGGGTGTTTGGTGACTTACAATGTAGACTTTGTAAGTGTGGTAAATTATGAAATATTGCAAATGAAATTAGCCTTTTCTCCATTTTTGATGTTTTGTGTAATCTGAAATTTTGTAATCATACAAATCTAAAAGTTGCAGAACAGAAAACCTTTTGTATTCTCTAGACTGCGATGAATTTTATCCCTTCATGCACAGATTATACTATTTTATTATTATTAAATACAATTTGTGTTTATAACTATTGTGAAGGTGATATTCTGTAAATGGAAATTTAGATTCACAAGATCTTAGAAATTTGTAGCATGGAAGGAGGCCATTCAGCCATGTCCAGCCCTATTTACATGGAGTTTTCCAGTGTAATCCTACTTTCTGATTCTTGGTCTGTAGCCTTGTAGGCTGCAGTACTTAAAAGTGCACATCCAAGTACACTTTTAAATGCCACTGCCTCCACCATCCTTTCACACAAAGCTCCAAGTCCTCATCGCCATCTGAGTGAAAATAGTTCCGCTCGAATCTCCTCTAAACCCATAGTTCTTCCCCTAAATTTATGACCTGGTTATTGGTACCTCAATCAAAGGGAATAGGGAATTCCTATCCACCTTATCCACTCCCCTCTCAATTTTATACATTTCTGTAAGGTCTGCCCTCAGCCACCTTTGTTCGAAAGAAAGCGTCCCTGTTTTCTCTCCGCAGATGCTGCCAGACCTGCTGAGTTTCTCCATCAATATCTGTTTTTGTCCTAGCCTGTCCAATATTTCCTCATCACTAAAACCTCATAGTCCAGGAAATATTCTCTCAAATCTCTTCTGTACTATCTTTTGTGCAAACAGATTTTTCTTACATTACAGCTGTGACCTAACCAGTGCTTCGTGCAATTCCAGCATTTCAACCGAGGTCTTAATATTCTATGCTACAGCTGATAAAGTATAAGTATACCATATGTCCTAATGACTACATTATCGACCTGTCCAGTCACCTTCAATGATTTGTGGCCACATACTTCAGGGCTTTTTCTCTACGTTCTCCAGTATCCCTACCATTGATTATGTATTCCTTTTAAAGGAGACTTTCTTAACCTTCCCTAACCTCACTCTTCTCTGGATTGAACTCCATTTGTCACTGTTCTGTCCACTGACTAGTCCATTGTTACCTTCCTAAAGTCTGCAGCCTTGTTATCAACCACACAGCCAACTTTAGTATCATGCAAAGTTCTATCTGCAACTATGGGGTCAGAATAATGCTAAAAGTACTAGTCGTAACTTTATTACCTATAAGCTGACAACTTGATGCAATCAAATGTAACTTGGTGAAAATGAAATGTATTTAACTACTGTATAATGTTCAGTTTTAGTTCAGTGTACCTTTTGTTTGCCAAAAGAGAGATTGTTTTGCAAATATAAGTAAATACAGCACACAAATATTGAAGCTGGCATATTTTATGAAAGGAACTGTTTATAAATTTTAATTGTATAGGTTTTAAAATTGTGCCTCGACTTTTTTTTAAGCTTAAGCTTATTTCCAACTATTTAATTTGGTGTATGATTTTGTTTACATATATTTTAGTACAAAGCTTTAAGTCTTTTTAACTCTTCAGAAAATATAAATTTTTAATTTATTTAATTTTAAACAGTTTTTTAGATGAAATTTCATTATACTTCAGAATGCAGCAAAAATCACTTAGATTCACAGAAAATTTACAAATGATTAAATTTACTTCAAGTAGACAATGAATAACATTTTGTGAATGCTCATTATTGGTTAGCAATATACAACTTAAAGCCTTGAATTTGCAGATTTTTTGAACTAATCTTTATTGTACTGTACAATTTTGGTTGAGAGTTTCACGTGTTGGAAGGAGAGCAACAGAAGCATGTTGTTGAGACTGCAAATACAGCAGTATTTCAGAAATCATATTTGAACTGAAGCAAAGCTAGCTGTCTTGAAGAGAATGTTACTGTGCATAGGCAAGTTAGGCCCATCATTCATCTCTGCTCTAAATGATATAGCACCTCCTTCCACAAGTTCTACTCTGTCAAAACTGTTAAAGTGGCTAGGTAAAACATTTTTACCACTGTGCTCAAAACAACTATAGTCACTTACATCCCAGTACAGCATTTTTTTCATTCCAGAGATGCACTGTCAATGTGACTTAGGCGATTAGCATAAAGTGATATAAGTTGTTAAGTCCTGCCCTGAAATTATTTAGCATCAAAGTTTGGATACGTAGAGCTCTTGTGGCATAATGGTAGTGTCCCTACCTCTGAACCAGGAGGCATAGGTTCAAGTCCACCTGCTTCAGCAGTGTGTGACAACATCTCTGAACAAGTTGATTAGAAAATACAAGTATCAACTTTGAAAGTGAGGGGCAAGGGTGAGATGAAATGTAATTCATAAAACTTTGTTCTTTCAAAATAGAATTCAATTATGGGTAAGATTTTTTTCACAAAAATAGCATGTGCTTTATATTAATGTTTTTATAAAATGTTGAAGTTTACAGATTGTGAAATAACTGCAGAAAGATCTCTAATTTAGTAATTTTTTTTCTTTTTACTATTCGTGCACCTGAAAGCATATTTTCCTGTATAAATGGCTGGTTTTGTGAAAACTGGCATATCATTTAAATAGTGAACATATTTGTTACAAGAAGCATTTCACCAACCCCAGAGCACTTTTGTGACTATTTCATACATAATTAGGGAACAAACTTTTGCACAAATAATAAACTGGATTTGTAGTACTGTTAAATTTTAGGTCAAGATTTTTTCTGTGTAATTAATCCTGTTTCAAAATTTTTCATAAACAGAGAGCACCTCACCAACTTTCAAAACAAAATAAAAATGTTGCTTTTAACAGGTTTTCAATGTTAAGATTTACAATTATGGATACTGGTATAGTTTAATCAAAATCACAGTGACTTAAGTTTCAACTGAGAAAATATAGCAGTAGGGTAAATGAGGCAAAGTGACCAAACTCTAAGATTCTGTTATGCATTTCCATAATCAGATACAAATATTGACTCATTTGTCAGTTTGCCCTATGATTCTTATTGGATGTACATAGAAGTTTAATGTTTATGAAATGTTTACAAACAAAATTCATAAAGACTAATTACCACATTTAATTTATTGAGAATACTAGTGGAAAACTTGTTATTTGCAACTAAAAACAGATTTTGAGCAATTGAAAATTTGGTAATGGCATTTCAACTGCAGTTATAAATCAGAAGCATAAAGCTGTTTAATATGAACACTTGTTTCTTGCAATACAAAAGATTGTCTAAACTGATGTAAATAAATGTGTTACAAATGTCCTATTTCCCTATAATTCCACAGATTATTTCATGTAACGTTTTTATTTTTGTTTTAATTCAAAATTCTGTATATTTCTGTAATTTTAGTTAACTGTACCATGAATTAAATTGTTAAACTTACCAATTATGTTTTCTTTTATGAAGCCTACAAATGTAAATAGTTTGTATTACATTTTGCATGCATGGACTCCTTTGACCAATCTTGAGACTGTGTATATATGTTATAGTGTACAGTATGTTTCATAAACTTCAATGTTTAAGAAATAAACCTGTCTTTTTAGACAGCTGTCTGTCTTCCCCTTTTTTTTGGTCAATTATAGCAGTATTAAAATGTGAAGATGGATTTTATCCTCTTGTTGGTTTATGATTGTACTTTGCTTGATGAAAGTTATGGTGCCTGGATCTAATTCTACTACCATCAGTGTGATACATTGTAATTTAATATTCACTATACTGTAATTGCAGTTTTCTTTGAGGATAAATTACCACCATAAACATTAATCTCTTACCTCTTATCATCTTCCGACATTAGTCTCTTTGGTCTCATAGTATTAATACAAGGGAATTAAACTAAATGGACATACATTTTCAATTGCCCTAGGCTTGCTTATTCAAGTCTGAAAATATTAGAAAAACAGTACCATTATTGTGATCCTTCTGAATGGTGGAAATGTGATAGATGACGTAATACAGAAAGAGGATGTTCCACTTCAGAAGTCTGGTCTAAAGAGTATGGATAATATTATTTGCAAAAAGTGGGAAAATTTTAAAGTGCCTTGGAAAATAAAACCTATTCCCTGGGTAAATGATTTTTAGGATGGTTTTCATATTAATATAAAAATTAAAATAAATTTCATTAACCAATAATTTATCTCTGAAATGCATGGTTTGCGATTAATGCATATCATAAAAACTTAGTTTTTGATTGTAAAATATTGTAGTTAACATAGCTCAGATATTTAGTACAGCATGGACCACAGGCCTAGATTGTCCAGTTGGAAGTTGGCTGTTGCAGTAATGTACTGTAAAAGATGTGCTACAGGGTCCTTTTGAAGTCTCAACTCACCGAATATGCATTTAAACATCTGATGGACGATTACCCAGTTGCTGGGACCCTCAAATCTACAGCACAGTCAAAGTTGGAGATTTTGGAGGGTTTTGAATCTCCTACCTGAATAGTTACGTTGGAGCAGCTAGATGGATTTAACCTATTCTAACTTCTGGGTATCTGTACCGTTGACTCCTCACCAAACATCCCCATTCCGACCTGGCATGAAACCCACATTGCACATTTAACTCCTTACCCATCTGCTACCTACCCATCTACATGGCACCTTACACACTTACCTCCCCACCAAGCACTAAACTCTGTCAACTATCTATTTGAAACACGTACCCTTTTTCCAAAAAGTTCCCAAAAGCACTTTGACAGTTAAACCCCAGAATACAGCAGCTACTGCTGTAAAAAGGAACAAATCTTGACCTTCATTGCTGTCCTTGCGTAGTGCTGGAAGGTTCCAAGATCAGGTATGCTATGTGATTCTCGAGGTATTCAATTTAAAAGTCCAGGCCAGGGCAAGAAAAACAGAACTAAGTGACAATTGGCTATGTAAAGGGTTTAAAAAAAGACTTGTTCGAATAGCTCAGCAGGTGTGGCAGCATCTGTGGAGAGGAAGGAGGTCGAACGTTTCGAGTCCAGTTAATCATCTTCAGAACTGAGTCTGATTGCCCCCCTCAAAGATTCAATTCATTATAACCCCTTGAGCCACTTCTGGCATTCAATTTGAATAGTGACTGATCTGTGCCTAGCTCCATATCCCCTAAAACCATTTGGTTAACAAAAATTTATCCATGTGTTCTAAAGTAAGTAAATCCCATTTGCAGATGAGTTTCAAACTTTAACCACCCACTGCTTGAAAGTGCTTCCAACTTTTACTCTAACTGTAAATATACTGATCTCTAGTGCTAGAACCAGTGAAAACAATTTCTCACTTTTCTATTCTGAATTTCTCAAATTTTAATCGTCATTCCTTAACCCTCAATTCCAGGAAATACAACTGTAGATTGTGCCAACTCTGACTTTAGCTTTACTGTGGAGTCTAGTTATCATTCTGGTGAATCATTGCTGCAAGGCCAGCACCGTATATACACGGGTATGGAGCCAGGAAACTGCTCCAGCTATGGTCTAAGTATTGTTTTATACAGCTTCAGCATAATTTTATCACCTTGTATTTTATGCCATTAGCTACAAAGGTTACCATCGCACAAGCCTGTTTTTTATATTCCTGCTCATAAAATTTTAATGATGGGAGCACCTGTTTCCCAAGTTCCTTAAAATTTTCACTGATTTTGTCTTTTCACCATTTAGAAAGTATTATGTTATGTCCTTTTTAGGGATATGGTTATCAAAACGAATGCACTCCCATTTGCTTACATCATTGTTGTAATTTCCACCCTCTTTCACCCCCCCCCCCCCCCCCCCGCCCCCCATTAACTTCATCAGTATTTAACTTCCCTCTATGTGTCTTAACTTGTTTTGTGCCAAAATGCTTTCAGGATGAAGTTTAAGTTGTGCTTAAAGCAGTATTCTTTAGGCAAATGGAAGTACTGCTGATCTGTATTTACAATTTCTCTGCCATTTATCATTGGCAGTATGCAGTACTGTAGTGGTTTCAGAGTTCCACAGCCATTTCACCTTGTTCAAAAGTCTGGACTTGAAAGGACTCCTTTGGAACTAGACTGCTCCAAAAAAAAAAGTGTTGAAAGTAGTAAAATGTAGATCTTCACCGTCTCCTTGTTACCCTATCACAAATTCAATTCTATTTTTAGGCTCTGGAAAATCCCTTCCAGTTTCAGGTGTCCAGCCTAAATCATTGAGACCGTGTCAAACAAGTCCATGACTTGAAATGGAAAGTTAGAATTCCCATCCATGTGACAAATAATATAGAGCATGGATCTGTCCCACCATCACAGGATTGTCCAGTGTAGAAGGAGATCATTTGGTCCATTGTGTGTACAATGGTCCTCTGAGCACTGTGACTTAGTCTGCCTTTTCCCATAACCGTGCATGATGTTTATATTTAAATAATCATCTAATCCCCTTTCAATGCCTCAATTGAACCCAAGAGACCTGGTTTCAAGTCCCACCTGCTCTATTGATGTGTAATAACATCTGAGCAGGTGGATTAAAATATCTCAGTCTTTGTATTTCAATTTGGTCAGAGCCTGTGAGCTGCAGGGACCTGGATGCCCAAGTTCAAGCCCCACCTTGTTCCAGTGGTATGTAACGACATCTCTGAACAAGTTTATTAGAAAATAGGTTTTAAAAAATTACGTTTATTCCAATTACTGACAGTGCAGCGTTTTTTTTTAAGAAAAACCTTTTCCAGGAAATTTAAAGGTTTGAAGTGGCTGTTTAATTTTGTGGAGCAGCATAAATTGACCAACAGGAAGTTGCGATTGTCAGCTGTTGGTCTCTCGTCCTCTAGCGGTCAGTAAGGTGAATGCTTCACACGTTTATTAGGGCTACCGCTATTGTTTCTTAAATTGCCAGTTTGCAGCAAATCTGGGCATTTGTTTTTATCTTCCATTGTCTTTCTGGTCCATTGTCTAGCTGTCATTTCTGATGTTGCTGGCATCACCCCTGTTGTAATGTGCAATGTTGTAACCAATTATAATACGATGGTAGTGAGAACAAACAAAGAGAACAAAAGGGAAGTACAACACAGGAACAGGCCCTTCGGCCCTCCAAGTATATGCTGATAAACGTGCCCTAACTAAACTAAGAAACAAACCTTCTGCCCTTATTCAGTCCATATCCCTCTATTCCCTCCCTATTCATGTAATCATCCAGATGCCTCTTAAATGTCACCAATGTGCCTGTTTCCACCACCGCCTCTGGCTGTGTGTTCCAGGCAGAAAAACCTGCATGAAAAACTTCCCTCGCACATCTCCCTTAAACTTTCCCCCTCTTACCTTGAACCTGTGTCCCCTTGTGATTGAAATGTCAACCCTGGGGAAAAAGCCTCTGACTATCCGCCCTATCTATGCCTGTCATCATTTTCTTGACCTCTATCAGTTCTCTTCTTAGCTGTCGTTTTTCCAGTGAAAACAATCCTTGTCTTTTTTAACCTTTCCTCACAGTCAATGCCCTGAAGACCAGGCAACATCCTGGTGAACCTGCTCTGCACTCTCTCCAAAGCTTCCACTTCCTGCTGGTAGAGTGGTGACCAAAACTGTAAACAGGACTCCAAATGCAGCCTCACAAGGGTTTTGTATAGTTGCAACATGGTTTACCAATTCTTGTACTGCATGCCCCGGATGATGAAAGCAAGCATACCATATGCCTTCTTAATCACTGGTCATTTGTGTTGCTAGTCTTAGGGAACTGTGGGCCTGCACACCCCCATCCATCTTTATCTTAATGTTCCTAAGGGTTCTGCCATTTACAATATAATTCACCCCTAAATTTGATCCTTCAAATTGTATCCCCTCATATTTGTCTGGGTTAAACTCCAGCTGCCATTTCTGTGCCCAAGTCGCCAACCTATCCATATCCTGTTGTATCCTTTCACAATTGTTGGCACTATCAGCAACTCCAAAAATCTTTGTGTCATCTGCAAACTTACTCATCAGACCACCCACATTTTCCTCCAGATCATTTATATATACTGCAAACAACAGAGGACCTAAGACTGATCCCTGTGGAACACCATTAGTTACCAGTCTCCATTCTGAAAAACACCCACTGCTACTTTCTGTCTTCTATGACAAGCCAGTTTTGTATCCATCTAGCCAGCCTACCCTGAATCCCATGTTATTTTAGTTTTTGTACCATCTGCCGTGTGGGACTTTATCAAATGCTTTGCTAAATTACAGTGAATCAAATCAGTAAAATAAATCAATATTATCGATTCTCATGTATTGATACTGGCACTTGTGGAAAATCCAACTGACTGGGGAGGGTGGTGAGTCACATTCACGATTTGAAGTCGAGCATTTATCTTGGCTCCGCTTGCCTGCAACTTGAAACATAGTTATCTTCGAGAAAGTACAATCCAATCTGCAACTGGTTTGATGCCAGCAGTTTACGAGGATTGCCAGCGGTGCTTATTCCTGGCTTCCATCTAATGATTCTTGTTCAAGTTTAATCCTGCACCACAAGCTGCTTCTAGGAAGTAATACTGTTTATCTCTCCCCCACACACGCTCTCTATTTCTCACACATACACTGTCTCTCTCCATCCCCCCAACACACAGACACACGCGCTCTCTCTCTTCCCCTCTGTCATACACGCACACAGACACACACTCTCTCCCCCCCGCGTCATACACGCACACAGAC